GTGAAACAACAGTGGACATCAGGTGATTAAATAAATGTAAGAAAAAATTCTGTCTCTTAATTACATGCAGGGAAGGCTCATCACTGTGAAGAGTTGTATTCCTTTGTTTTAGTTTATTTTTTTAACTTGATGCTTTATACAAGCTGTCCTCAAATTGTCATTTCCTTAATAAATACCCACTAATTGGTTTTATTAGCAGTGTCTGTTTCTGTACAAAGTTATTCAAGTCAATTGTTTGATATTTGGAGGTTAGGTAATTGCAGACTGCCCTATCTTTCACTCAGTAAAGATAAATAAGTATGGTTTTATACCAGTATCTAAATAGTAAAGGAATTCTTAAAAGGATCCATTGAAATCCTTTAATACTGAAGCTAGAAATTTGCCACAGAGGTGAGGCATTTATTGAATCCTGATATAATTAATGTTGGCATGCACTAACATTGATACACTTTCCCCAATCCTTCAGCTGCAGGCTGTCTCTCTGATGTTACATTTTCCAACGCACACTGACTAAGATGTACTGTAAGCTTGATGCTTTAGTAAAAGCAATGATTCAAAAATGTATTGGTGAGACACCAGCCCATCCCTTGAAGAGTGACAAATTCAGTGCCTAACGTATTCCAGGCAGTTTTCAGATTTTCCACCCATGTTGACTTACTTCATCATTTAGAAATCTCTAAGGTATATTGTTACACCTGCTTCACAGGTGGTAAACAAGGGGCCAGGAGGGGGAAAGGGCTTTCTGGAGCCTGTGAGTGGCAGCACTGGCATACAAACCTCCGAATTTAAACTCAGTTCTCTTTCCATCATACATGTCACTGCTGGCTGGCGAATGGACACTGTGCTTCTTTTAGAAGTATAATACTCAAATTTATTGAAAAATGTGTTTGCAGAAATATTTTAAATGATACTTAAGAAAATTGCAGGAATCTAAAAATCTTAGGTAGAAGTCATCAGAATCTCAAGTTATTGCATGGTGTATGTCAAGACATATACATATATACACATTATACAGTTTAAATATATACTCCCCAATGTGCTGAAGCCCACTCCTCAATTTTGCATGTGATTTCATAAGAATTTTGTATGTGGTATTTAGAAAAGTTTAATGAAATTTACTCATTGGCTAGGCGCGGTGGCTCACACCACCCATCACTCTGGGAGGTCAAGGCAGGTGGATCTCTTGAGCTCAGGAGTTTGAGGCCAGCCTGAGCAAGAGTGAGACCCCATTTTTAGATGGCATTGTGCTGGGCACCTCTAGTTCCAGCTACTCAGAAGGCTGAGGCAAGAGGATTGCATGAGCCCAAGAGTTTGAGGTTGTCACTCTCTACCAAAGTCAAATAAGACCCTGTCTCAAAAAAAAAAAAAAAAAA